GTTCCTTTTATTATTTATTCACACAGTCCTTAGTTCCAAGAAGATTCCTAGGGCCAACGATTGACTATTCAGCTGACACTATTCACTTGAAGTCTTCATGTTTTCTTAAGGCCTTAAAAATAGATGATTACAGAAGAGACATCACTTGCTGTTCTGCAATGCTTCTATATGTGAGTACGACAGCAGTTTTAAGAAAATGTGAGGGAGTCACTCAGATTTTTAACCTCAGAAGGGAATGTCATGGTTGAAATTTCAAGAAAGAAAAAAGGAATACGATATCTGAGCAGTGTAAAATTTGTCCAGTAGGCCTGGTAAAGGAATGGCACCCTTTTTTTCCCTCAAAAAAATCTGACATGCCTATGCACATGGGAGTGGGGAATAAGCAAGGCTTTTTGATTTATTCTGTGAAGACCAAAAGGGTCATGTGGCACCAACATCATATGCAGTCTTGGAAAAGAAGGTTCCCTGTGTGCTTGTTTACCATTCTGCTCTGGAAATGTATTTATGTTTTGGACCACAGATCTATCAATTTAACTGTGGATAGAAAAAAAAGTCAATACTCTGGATTTGTGTCAAATGAGGGTATAGGTACTCCCCACCTTCCATGAGGCATCTGGACCTAACAGAAGTTCAGAAGGCCACCATTGTATATGGAGACCATTCAATTTACAATCAGGTAGATCCATGTAGTTTTCAGACAAGTACATTTCTCCTGGAAATTATGAATACGGGAACTCCATGTCCTGCCATCCTCCATATCATCCTTATTCTCAAAGCAGCTTTGAGCAGGTTCTTAGTGGTTGTGCTAAAGAAAGGATGTGATCTTAAAATAGTTGTCTATTTTTATGGGCATAAATTAATGTTCCTAGCAATATTGCACTTTATGGTAGATGTACATTCCTACATTCATTTTCATCATGCATTTTGTAGTAGTTTCTGAGGTCTCTGGAAATCATATGGTGCATTTATACAGCCTCAGACCATACACTGAGCAACTCACCTGTGTTTTGTGGGGGCATGATTACGTTTTCCAGTTCTTTATATTTGCAAAAATCCATTTTATTGGAGTCTAGGTTCATTTCAGTGAGTCTGTACTTGCATAGTTTGCACCTTCATTTAGCCCTCCAGATATATACATTACATTACTTCAAAATCTTGCCTTCTCAGATCCCTTTTTTCCATGTTAATTTATACTGTGTTATGTATGACCAGAAACTTAAATACAAGTCACCCAAATAGAGATTTGAAAAGATATAAAGGTTAGCAGACATGCAAATTCAGAGCACTTGAATTATACTTTTTAAATTTTTCACTGTAAGCATAGTGCTAAAAGCCTCTTTGTCCCCTTTTTCCTCTCCTAATATGCAAACAAACTGACTTTTACAATCACCTGATTCTAGCAGCAGAGGCTTTAAGAAAAATACTGGCTTCCTCTAACTCCCTTTTTCTTATGATAGCCTTCTTTTTACAGCTATGCAGTCCTAAGAATATAAGGCAATTGCATTGCATCTATTCTTTGAGCTGAATTCCTGAGGATTCTGAAAAACATTAGAGCTTGCAGAGGGCCTAGTAGATTCAGAAACAGAGGGTGAATTTAGGGGACTGAAAAAGAAATTTGGAAATCTGCATTTGCATCGTTTGGCTTTACCACTGAATTTGGAGCAACTTTATTATCCTCGCTTAGAAAGAATTATAGTGCATCTATAGTGCATTACACGTCTTTTAGCCCTGTGATAAAGAAGATACAGGAGTGAGTGGCCTTTAATTTGTAGTGTTATTGCCTTGAATTTCTCTTGTTTGCAAAGATAAGCTTTCAAGCATGGCTGCTTATAATTAGGTCCTTCTGTGTCTCAGTGGGGAAACTCAGTATAAGTTATCTCCCAGATGCTTAAAAATGAGCTAGGGGCATAATATTAAGGTGCTTGTTTTGAAAACTTTATCAGAAATTTTGCTGCAGAACTTGTCTTGAAATTAAACCCTGCCCCTATGTATTCCTTGTTTGACTATAAATCATGTTTTTTTGTCTTTATGGTAGCAAAATCACCTAAATGGTAGGTGATGAATATGGAGAACTCTGCAACCAAAAAAAATGAATTATTCAAATATCTTTGAATTACATGTAGAACAAGAATTAATCGATAGTGTTTTGTTACCTTTTCTGTCCCTTTAACTACATATTTCATTTGGGAGGGGAAACAGAAGGAATGACAACATTACTTTCTCCCTACCATCAAATTCAACTTGACCAAAAAACTCATCATATATTTCAATTTAGTCCTTAGTTTGAGTTTTGCCTTTCATGATCTGGTGCAGAAAGTTTGGTATTTCGACCACATGGAAAATCAAAGCAGTAGGTTTTAAATGGAGCTCGAGAACCTGGGGATATACCTCTCCTTCTCAAATAAATCTACTCAGCACCGCAGACTGTGCCCATTAGTGGCTATGGAAGCAGACAGTAGAGCCTTTTACTCTACATATGGGCAAAGGGCAAGCACTTGATAAATGAATGGAGAAGCCTATGTCGGCTTCGGAGAAGGAAACAAAGGAACCAGGGGAAGAGCAATGAAAAAAGAGACTGCCAGGGGAAACTGCTGAAAGATTAACTGTAGTTTTCCATTGCTTATTTCATCTGATCTGGTGTTTTTGTTTTTGTCTTTTTTTTCTTGCACCTAAAATTGAATTTTTATAGTAATGCGTACTTAAAAAAAAAAAAAAAAGAATTATAAGGGGCTATCAAAAATACACTAGGAAAATCATGGCTCCTTTTATCACCGTGGTTTAGCTTTCAGACTGTGTCTGTGTCACAGGAAGAAGTTGTATCAGGGGAAGGAGAGAACACTTTCATCGGAGGATGGCACGGTTGTCCTTGCACGACTGTTATCTGGTTCCTTGATCTGACTTTCTTAAGTTCAAAATTTACACATCTGAGAATTCTTCTGCACCTCATGATATGGAAGCCTTCAAAGATTGAGTTGATGTTTGCTTCATGGGTTTAAACCTCCCAGCATGAACAGCATTTCGTAGGAGTGCAGAGGAGGAGAACAGAAGCTGATTCTTTCTAACGATGATGAACCTGCCTCCACGCTTGGGCTTTGAAACCCTTGAAATTTGGGAAAGTTCAGGACCAAACCTGCCTACTCAGGTTATTTCCCCAAATAAAAATTAATCTTTATATTACGTTTCATAACAGTGCCTGAAGCAGATATAAGAAGAGCTTGTTCTACTAGTGGTCATTACTCGATTCCTCCTGACTTTGTCCATTTATTAAAAGAGATGAAATTTAATTAAGATTTAGTCTCAACCTATTTGTAATTTGCATAGAGGTTCTAGCAAACTTTACTAATATGCAGAGTTCGTAGTAATGATGCTGTCTTTCCTGTAGGTTTCTCTGCTTGGCTTTCATCCGGCTGTTAGGTAAAATTAAGGCCCAGAAAATAGGATTATTATATCCCGAGGGGCATGGCTGATAAGCAGCACATGATTGTTGATCTGCTTGCTACTCAGTGTTGGTGGTGTCTGAGGTGCTGCTAGATGCAAAGCCAATTTGTTAACAATTAGTGCTCATTAGAATCATTTCCTGTTATCGATTTTAAATGTTTGACAAAGCACTTTTAGGAAATTGCACCGAGAAAAAAAATAGTAGCTGTACATCCGTGCTTCATAATTACTGCTCTTTAGGACCCAATGTGTATCTTAACTAAACTAGTTTCGTTGGTTTCCAAGTAATTATTTTTGCTTTGGATCCCACCTGCTGTCCCCTCCGGATTAAAGATCCTTTGAAACAAGGACATACTTCTTAATTAGTGGAGTTGCTGAAGAAGGAGTGAAGAAACAAAAGCAACTTCTTATTTTCTGTCTGGCTGTGATATGGCTAGGGGTTTCTATCTCACAGAACTATACTATATACATGCAGATATATGACAGACAATATGCAAATTAACATGAGCATGGAATTAAGTATGATTTCTTTTGGCCTTACCCATTTAACATGTAGGTTTAGTCTTAAATGCATCCTTGCCTTTATACACACACTAAGAGTTGTGGGGCCATTAGCATCTAATTTACAAATGGCAAAATTAGATATAATAGCATGTTCTAATAAAAGCTTGAAAGCCAAGGGTCTAAGAGGACTCTTCCTGAAAACTGGGGATATAACTGCTATCGCTGTGTTTTACATGCTAGAAGTGACTTGTATGCAAGATGATAATATACAATGCAGTATGCATATAGATGTAAAAAGCACCAAGTTATGCATATCTGTGTTTCTACATGTACTAGACATTTATGCCAAGATGTTAAAAACTCATGCCTTTTATAAGTACGCTGGAATTTGGGTTAAATTTGGCAGTGTCAAAGGTGAGGTCAGTAGTATAGCCATCTGGGTTAATTTTCCTTTCTTTCTTCCTTCCTTTGCTCTAAATATTCAGCAGCACCCGCTCAGATTTCCCAAGTGCTCACTTAAAATGCTTACAAATATTTTAACCATACGCCGTAATCCCTGTTGCACAAGGTGGAGACCTAACGTAAGACTCGACTTTGTGCCTTTCAAATCCCCATTCATGAATTAGCCTCATGATTACCACAGAAATTAAGACAAGCGCAGGCAAAACGCTCTGTGCTTAGTCCCCCTAACCTTAATAAACAGCGACGGTATTGACACAAGTGAATTTTGTTTAACCACAGTACATTTGCTTCTTAATTAGTGAATATTCATCTGTCACCAGCAGCAGCTATGACACCCCTCCCCGCTAACACACTCTGTCATAAATAATCAATGAGGGGCCATTAATATTCATGAGTGAGAATCTGTGTAGTCATGTGCACTGATGCGGAGCCAGGGGGAGTGTTGCCATGAACTGAGCCGAAACTCCGTGTGCGCCTACGTGAGTGCGAGAGAGTTGGGGAAGGGGAGGAAGAGCAGCGCGCTGCTCGCGCCGCCAGCCGCGTGCCCGTGTGCCTGGGCTGCAGGGACTGATGAGAAACTGTAGTCAAGTCTGGAGGGTGATTCCCTGCCAGTGCGTTTGCCTTGCAGCGCGGGGGAAATTAGAGGCTTTGCTCTTGCGTTGCGCATTAGGATGGGCTGCAATCTGTGCACTTTTCAGAAGAGAGAGGAACACTACAAACTGCTCTATGAAGTTTCACAGGTGAGTGCAGGGGATCCTGGCAGCATCTCCGGAGTAAAAATGTGTGTTCTTTAGAAACAGTAAGCAGAGCTGGTTTGGGTTTGGGTTCGTGTTTTGTTTTCCTTTAGCAAATTGCTAGCCAGGTTATTTGGGGGATTTGGTAATTATTAGTATTTTGAGTGTCTGTTGTTTTCTGCTCCTTTGCCACTCCCCCTTCAGATGACTTCCTGTGGGAATCTTTTAACATTTTTGTTCATCTTCTGCCAAGATGTCAGTCATATAGCAGCAGTCTCACTGAACCGTATCGGTGATGTTTTCAGGGAGCCCTTAGCTTTAGTAATAAGGCTGTGATTTCTGCTAAGTTGTGCTGCAGCCTCTGAAAGTGTTAAGTCTGCGGTCTCAGGTATTTACAAGTTATGGAAAAAAGTTTTTTGGCATGTCTGTGTTGACCAAGAGGTGTATTAAATTTTCAGATTGATCAATTAAAAATTGCAGGGATTCTAAAACATGCTTGCATCTTTGAACAGGTATCAAGTACAGCAGGGTTTCCATGCATTAGGTTTTCATCTTGTTCATTTGTCGTGTGTATTATTTCTGCTTACCACTAGACAAAGCTTTTAATCCCACACAGTTATTTTGGTGTCTCTTACAGCATCAGGGAAAATATTGTAGCAGTGTGAGTAGTAATGTAGCAGCGTGCTGCCAACATGTGTTCCCAGCTCTTTTAGAGTAAGATGAGAAAAGACGAAACAAGCACTTACCATAATAGCCCGTAATTTTGCCCAGATCCTATTGAATCAGTATTTGATTTGCAGCTTTTTGTTTGTTTTCTCTTGGCACAACAGAACCTAGCATGCTAAAGTTTAGTGCCTTTGAGCATCTGTTCTCTTCCTCTCTATAATTTGTCCTAGCTTTGACACATTGCCGTTGACAGCGGCTGAACGCTGGCAGTTTTGGACGGTGCTGCTGATGACAGGCATTGCAGAGGAGAAAACAGCTTACGGTGCTGGTGGTCTATTGGCACAGCAGTAGCTAAGTGCCCGTTGCTGACTGGGTCCCTCCGAGTTCTTCCTGACGTGATTCATTTCACAGTGGGCTAATTCTCTACACATGAAACAGCCTCCTCAGTCGCCGTGCTAATGCACATTTTCATGGTAATGTGATCAGAGCCTCATTAGCCGGTTTCCAAAATGATCCTCTGCATTAATTAAATATAAAAATGACTCTTTTTATCACCATAGAGAGGAGGAAGATGATTAACATTGTTAATTACTATAGGGGGCAATACCTCTGCATCGCTTTTTTACTGCAAAACTAGCAGGCATAGTCAATCCTAAAAGCCAGTCTGTTTGCAGGTAACCTGTCAGTTGCTTTGACTCATGAAGATGGTCTCTAGGTGGAACACTTTCCTTCAGTTCAATAGTTTGTCACCATGCGACCGTGATTTTTTTTTTCTTATAGCTGTAGCACAGGGGAAAGCATAGCTGTGTATTTCCCTCCCCTCTCCTTACCCCACTCCTCAGCTCCAGATTGCCAGACTGATCGGAAAGTGTAAAATGGAGTCAGTGGAGTAGGTCAGTCCCTGCTTTACTGTGCCGGAGACAGGAATTCAGGTTGTGCTGTGGAAGGGATTAGACATTTCTTAAATGGCTGCATGTGTGTGTAAGGCTTTTTCTTGTTTGGAGAGAATGCATTTTCACAGTGTTCCTTGCATTAAGATTTCACAGAGATGCTGTGCATCTACTGAATGCTGCTGAAACAGTCAAGGCAAAGGAGAGATTTGTTCTGGGATTCTGAGGAAATTCTTCCCTTTGTCTCTTATTTTCTGTGCTGTAGAGTTGGAGTGTTTATGGGTGCAAGCAACCAAGGAGCAAAACAAACTAATGCTTTCACTTTTTACTTGGCATTTGTCAGATAAAGTGAAATCCCTGGGAGAATCTCAGTGAGTTTCCTTGGGGAGTTAAAAATGCAGCAAGCCCGGTGCTGCATCTTCTGCTGTTCATGCTGGGAAATATCACTGATACTGTGCAGGGGTAGAGCAGTGAAATGGCTTAGTATTCTCAGTGCCAGGTCCTGTGTTGATTTGTAAACTAGTTGCTAGCTTTGTTTCAGCGTATGGCAGGTCAGAGCCCGAAGGACACTGTATTTTTAACCAGGTGTTGCAGTAGAGATCAGGTAGTATCTCACACCTTTAATAGTTTTGCTTACAGCACCGATGTGCTGCCCTGGGAGGGAGCAGCAGTCGAATATCATAAAATAAATGAAGCCACGACAGGCATTGCTGCTAGGTTTGCAAATCCCTTTTCAACTCTGCAGTCCTGTAATTCCTATACCACAGCTCTGGTTCTTTTATCTGCATGATTTCTCGAGAGCTTGGGACAAGTTAGCCTGTCAAGGACATGAACTGACTGAGGATGAGCTGTGGCTCACTAGCATATGTGGATCAGCTAGATTAATTTATATTCACATAAGGAAATTCTTCTAGCCTCATCTCTCACCTTTCTGGTGCTTGGCTACCTGATGCTGTGGGTGGTCTGTGCACTCATGTACTTAGAAATACAGTAAACAAAGGAAAGCATGTTTGTGGAGGAAATCCTTGCAAATGCTTACAGAGAGGCATGTTTTCTGCTACTGTTTGTAGTGAGGTCACATTCAGCACCAGAGAGCTTTTTGTTGTAGAGCTGCTGGGAAATTAAGACATCGTTAGAATATGTATAATTCCTCTCTCTTCCCCCATCCCCTTAGTCTGGGCTTGTTTTGCCTTTCACTGAGATAGCAGTCCAGAGACCACAGAAGCCCGTGCAGAATGGAGCATTTGCTTGCATGCTGTCGACTTTTATTTTGATAACTATGCTTTTCACGTGCAGATTGGGATTAAAACAAAATGTCAAACAATCATGTTTTAAGAATAAAAGCTTTTGAGATAGAGCTCCGCATTGGTGAAGCACTCTTGTGCTTTTGAGTGCCTCTTCACCTATCCTCAGGGTGTGAGAACTGCTCAGCTTGCTTCTTGACTTTGCTGTGAGAACATACCAGACATGGTGTCGTATCACTGAGCATCCCCCTAAGTCCTCTTCTCCATACGCCTGCTGGTGGAGAAGCGGAAATAATGTCAATTTGAAATTTATGGTCCTACATACCACTTCAAGGAGCACTTTATTATTATTTCATATGTCCTGTATAAGCAGGATTGAGTTAATGAATGTGCAGCCAGGAAGTCTAGGTCAAATCACTTATGACAGGGAAGTTGGGACCAGTGTTCATTAGGACCAGATCTCGACCATTCTTGGCTAATTTTCTCTTGCACAGTTGCGGTGAGAGAAGTGATTTTAAGTCACTGTTAACTGAGTGATGAGGATTCTTCCTGTTTAGCAGACAGATAAATATGCCAGGGATTGGAGGGAATGGAACTGGAGCACCATCTGATCGGTTGTCAGATTTTCAGTGGCCTTGTGTAAGACTGAAGGAAATGCAAGTTTTTTACAGATTTATGTGGATATCGATTTTTGCACTCTGATTTCAAAAAGTGTAGTTTAAGCCAGAGAAAACGTTGTTGGGAGGGAAAAAGAGATCAACCAAAGACCATTGGAGACTGCTCTTTTGAGTTATATTCTAAGAAGCAGTATTTTCTCAAATGAGCTGAGAATTAAAAGGGAGAAAAGAGAAAACCTCAAAGGGCAAACAGAGGCAAGCCAGGATGGTTCACAAAGTCAGTGGTAGAGCTGGGATTAAAACCAGAAGGTTGCACATTTGTATTTTCCATTTGATCTCAAATAATAGTAGAGCCTGCTTGAAGCATTCTTAAATCCTCTGTAGACTGATTATGCAGTATGCTTCTCATGTTGGTTTCCGTAATTAGCATAAAGCTCAAATTTTCACCAGTTCAGAGTTGTGATTTTATGTTCATTTTGACATCCCTTGGGCTGCTTGAGGTACTGAGTTGTAGCGGTGCATCTCTTCAAATTCAAAGGGGTTCACAGGAGAGACATCAAATCTGCCTGCTGGCAGAGCAGAGGTCCTTTTGTCTTTTTTTGGAGGTGGTGCCTATCCTGGGCGTTGGTGTAATGAAAGAAGACTGCAGGCCAAGCAACATATTTATTGGGCCTTGTCTTCTCTTGTCGTGATAAAGTTTGTGTTTATTCAGGGATTTAAACAAACTGGATGAGCTGATGAGTTTTTATTCTTTCTGAACCCAGTTCTAGCCACTAATACTGATTTTGGGTGCTTTTGTCACGCAAGGGATTTTCATTGCTTTTCCTTTTTGTGGACTTTGCCCTTTAGTTCTTGTTTTTTCCTGAGCAGATCTGCCATGTTGATTTGCATTACCTTCATTATCTTTTTTTTTCCCCATATACCAGTGACCTCTCAAAACGTTCCTCGTAAACTTCACCAGCACTGGAAAAATACTACTTTCTAAACTTCATGCTGCTTGTTCAGAATCTTCAGTATTTGGGGATATTCCTTACCAGATATTTTGTAATCTGTTTATATCTAAGTTTGTTTCTGTTTTTTTTGGTAGAAATACTGTGGAAGAATACTTCTACCTCTGGAGCATATGAATGGAGGAGAAAATTCTAAGATTAATTTTCTGGAAGTTAAAAGAATGGTCTCAATTAGTAAATCAGTAGCAAAAGTAGATTTGGTTAGGTCTTACTGCATTTCCCATTTTTTTCCTTCTAGTTCCTCTCTAAGTTTTTATATAAAATAATTGAGAACCACCACCCTCCAATTTCTATCTAAGCAGTACTTCTGAGTGCTGATTTTAAGTTAATTTTTTTTGAGATGTTGAAGGATTTAGTGAATGTGTAAGAGTACTGTTTTAGTTCAACTAAACAAGTTTAGAGCTCATCTCTACAATTCTCTTCACAGTTGCACTGTTTCACATTAGTAGAGCAGCATATGTAGACTAAAAACATGTTCAAATAAAGCTCTATCCATGCTTGGAATTTATTTCAAGATCTCCTATTGAAATAAAAAGACTTTAAAAACTCACCTCCCTAGAAGTTGACTTTTCTTGTAGA